CATTCCAGCTCTCTGTTGAATGACACTGAAATGGGTTTGCCCTGGAGACCCTAATGTGTGATAAATACAGGGCAAGACAGGTTATTGAGCTCACTGATACAGCAAGCATATTGCCAGGTTCAAGATACACAAACCAATGAGGTTTTTCAATTGTGAGAATTGAACCTGGGAGGGTCAGGAGAAAGATGGATCCTTACATGGCTCCATGTGTCCTTCGGTTATTCAAGAGTCAATTCCAAGTTTTACTTTCCTTGTGTAATTGTTTAAAGTCCAACATCCCTCTCACCTACTTCTTTTCAGGAACCCTCAAAAAACCCAGCATCTCGGCTGAGCCAGGCTCTGTGATCACCTTAGGGAATCCTGTGACAATCTGGTGTGAGGGAACAATGGAAACTCAAATATATTTCCTGTATAAAGAAGGAAGCCCAGCACCCTGGGAAAGATTGACTGTACCAGTGCCTGATCACAGGGTCAAGTTTTTCATCCCATTCATGGGAGAAAATAATGCAGGGCGATATCGTTGTTACTGTTTTAACTCTGCTGGGTGGACACAACACAGTGACTCCATGGAGCTGGTGGTGACAGGTGAGTAGATACTTAGGAATCATATGAATCCCCAGATGTGACTCTTTAGAAAAGTTTGCTCTGAATGTATCCCCACTCAATCCTCAGGTCTGGGGGACAATCCAGACTGTGTGAATCCATTTAATAGTCCATATGTAACTCTCCTAGGTGTCTACAACAAACCAACCCTGTCTGCACTGCCAAAACCTGTTGTAACCTTAGGAGGATCTGTGACCCTTTCATGTACCTCAAATCAGACATATGATGGGTTCGTTTTAATTAAGGACAAGCAGTTCTACAGCTCCATGGACTCACAATATGTATATACTGATCAGTCTTCAGCTAGATTCCAAGTGGGTCCCATCACACTCAGTGAAAGATGGAGTTTCAGATGCTATGGCTATCACACAAGCAAGCCTCAAGTGTGGTCCGAAGGGAGTGACATCTTGGAGCTTTTAGTCACAGGTGAGGAAGCCCCAGTGTGATAAGTATGGGGAAGGACAGGTTCCTGAGCCCACATATACAGCATGCAGATTATGGGAGTCAATATACAGAAAGTGCTGAGGGGTGTTCTGAGAAGGGAGCCTGGCAGGGTCAGCAGAGAGATGTATATTCAGATGGTTCAATGTGTCCTTCTGTTATATAAGGGTTAACTACTCAGTACAGTACCTCCCTGGAGTTGTTGGTGATAGGTGAGTCGTTACTCAGGAATCATATGAATCCATAGCTGTGACTCTTTAGAAAAGTTTGCTCTGAATGTATCCCCACTCATTGCTCAGGTCTGGGAGGCAATCCAGACTGTGTGAACTCATTTAATATTCTACATGTATCTCTTCTAGGTGTCTATTACAAACCCACCCTGTCTGCACTGCCAAACCCTGTTGTAGCCTTAGGAGGATCTGTGACCCTCTCATGTACCTCAAATCAGAAATACTACAGGTTCATTCTAATTAAGTACAAGCAGTTCTACATCACCATGGACTCACAATATGTATATACTGGCCTGTCTCCAGCCAGATTCCAAATGGGTCCCATCACACTCAGTGAAAGATGGAGTTTCAGATGCTATGGCTATCACACAAGCAAGCCTCAAGTGTGGTCAGAAGGGAGTGACATCCTGTAGCTTCTAGTCTAAGGGAGGAAGCCCTAGCCTCTCCATTGAATGACATTGAACATGAAACAGGTTTCCCCAGGAAACCCTATTGTGTGATAAGTACAGGGATGGACAGATTCCTGAACCCATATATACAGCTGCAGATTATGGGAGTCAAGATATAGAAAGTACTGAGCGGAGTTCTGAGAAGGGAACTTGGAAGGGTGAGGAGAGAGACGGGTCTTCAGATGGCCCTATGTGTCCTTTTATTCAAGGGTCAAGTCTGAGTATTGTATTCACTGTGAAACTCTTTAAAGTCCCACATCCCTCTCTCTTTCCTCTTTTCAGGAACCCTCAAGAAACCCAACATCTGGGCTGAGCCAGGCTCTGTGATCACCTTAGGGAATCCTGTGACAATCTGGTGTGAGGGAACAATGGAAACCCAAATATATTTCCTGTATAAAGAAGGAAGCCCAGCAGCCTGGGACAGATTAACTGCACCAGTGCCTGATCACAGGGCCAAGTTTTTAATCCCAACCATGAGGGCTTATAATGCAGGACGATATCGCTGTTACTGTTATAACTCTGCTGGGTGGACACAGCAGAGTGATGCTGTGGAGCTGGTGGTGACAGATCTGTGGACACTAAGGGTCACAGTCTTCACATTTTCCTGTGGGGACCCTGAGAGCTCTGCTGCTGGCAAGGGGATGGCCCACATGATGTAATAAGGAAAACTCAGATCAGGCTGACATAGTAGTTGCCAGTTCATACTCTTAAAATCCTGAAACCAGGTCACTTATTGCAAGCAAATTTAAACATATTACAAATCTGGACAAAAAGATTCCTGGTATAATAGAAAATCTAGTGAGCAACTAGACATAATTGTATCAAAACTCAACTCAGAAGTGACCGTGGAGATGGGTTCTATAGCTAAGGGGCCTTTAATCTAGTGTGGTCAATGACTGACATAGTGTACATGTCAGCAGGCTGTAAAGTGTACAGCACATCTTGCCTAAGAATGGGCTTTATTAACTGAGAGCTAATGAAAAAGTCTAGGGAGACAGAGTCTGGGATAAACATTCTGGGGTATTCAGGTGATGCCTGGAGCTACAGATAGATGGTCTCCTGGTTATTAACAACATCCATTCCCAGTTCTCTTGATAGAAAACAGGTATTTATTCCATCAATTGAGCCGACACACTGCACGGATAACATTCATGTCCTCTACATTTTCCCTCAGGAAATATATCTCCCAAATATTTTCACCCATAGCCCAGCTGCTGGAGACAATGTGTCATTAAATAGGCCGTTCTATCTTCTCCTAGGAGTCTAACAAGTTAAACTTACTCTGTCAGCCTTGCCCAGTCCTGTGGTCAACTCAGGTGGGAATGTGACTCTCAAGTATGTCTCATCAAAAGGATATGATTGGTTCATTGTGACTAGGGAAAATCGGTTCTCCAGGTCTCTCAAGGCACAGTGTATACACATTGGACAGTCCAAGGCTCTGTTTCCTGAAGTCCCTGTGACATCCAGAAAGAGTGGGCCTTTTAGATGTTATGGATACTTCAAAAGTAAACCACATATCTGGTCAGAGGCCAGTAACCCTGTTACGATATATGTCTCAGGTAAGGAAGACTTATTCAGTCATCTGGTTTTTGACTAGGAACCCTTTATCACTAGCTCTGCTGGCCTGAGGATGGTTCCAGCCATGATGGCTGAAGGCAGATCTTGACTGCTATGACCCAGATTATAAGAGACCATGACACTGTCAGAGCAGGAAAAGAAGGAGATTTGTCTTAGTTAGAGTTCCTGGTGTTGAAAATAAGTACCATGAACAAAAGCAGGTTGTAGAGGAAAAGGTTCATTTGGCTTACACTTTTTCAGCACTAGTTATCCTCAAAAGAAGTTAGCAGAGCAACTCAAACAGGGCAGGAACCTGGAAGCAGGAGTTCATGCAGAAGCCCTGGAGGGTTGCTGCTTACTGCCTTGCTCAGCCTGATTTCATATAGAACCCAGAACTACATACCAGGGGTAGTACCATACACAATAGGATGGACCATCCCCTGTCAATTCCTAATTAACAATGCCATACAGGACTGTGTGCAGCCTAATCTTATTGAGCCCTTTTTTCAGTTGATGTTTCCTCTTCTCCAGTGACTCTAGCTTGTGTTCAGCTGACTTAAACTTAGCCAGCAGAGGAATGCATAGCAAGAGCTGACCTGATGCCTTTATACATATCCTTCTTCCAGGGTCATCCAGGAAGCCCTCCCTGATAACCCAGCAAAGACCTATCTTGGCCCCTGGAGAGAAGCTGACCCTCCAGTGTTACTCAAACATGAGTTATGACAGATTTGTTCTTTCCAAGGAGGGCGGAAGTGATGTCCCACAGATATCTGCCCATTTTACCCAGGCTGGAAAGTCTCATGCAAACTTCACCTTACACTCTGTGGATTTCACCACTGGTGGCCGGTATAGATGCCATGGTTCATACAACATCTCTTCTGAGTGGTCAGCCCCCAGTGACCCTCTGGATATCCTGATCACAGGTGAGGAACATAGTGTATTCTCTCAGGAACCCAGACTCCGATCATGGTCAGCTTTGGGGAGGCAAGTGATTGATGGTCAAGATAATGAAGGTCTTCTCAGGATGAACAGATCTGTGGAGAGGGGAGTAGATGAATGGCATTCAGGGAAGATATAGAAGACTATGTAATACAAAAGGGTCTCAGAACAATGACTGTAGCCCCTCACTCACCCTTCTTCTCTCTAGGACATCCTCCTGTCGCACCCAACCTCTCAGTGCATCCAGGCACCACCGTGTCCTCAGGAGAGAAAGTGACCCTGTTGTGTAAATCATCAATCCCAGTAGACAGCTTCCTTCTGTTCAAGGAGGGTGCATTCCATTCCCACATGCGTCAAATATCAAAGCTCCAAGATTCACAATATCAGGCAGAATTCTCCATGAGTGCTGTGACTCCATCCGTTGGGGGTATCTATATGTGTTTTGGTTCTCAAAGATCATCTCCTTACCTGTTGTCACAACCCAGTGTCTCCATGGAGATCATAGTCTCAGGTGAGATGACCTTGATATATGTGAGATCAGAGGGTAACATTGGATACTTCACCTTGGAAGCTCTTGACTGAGTTGGTAGTAGACTTATCTTAAGCATGGCTAATCAGAAAGGGTTTAGTATTAGTCAATAATACAGAGGCAAACTGGGATTCCTCAATTAATTCCCATTCCACCTTCTTGAGGAAAATTCAGAATGTTCCAGGTAGGCAGCTGCAAGGTTCTGTACAGGCTTCAGTGTGGATGTGAGACTGAGAAGAGCTGAGATAATTAGGCCACACTTCTCCCCATCACCCTCTCCCATTGTCCTATTACCAACACTTTCCTGGATCCCCAAAGCTCATACCAATAGAAGTGTTAGATTTTCCTGTCTAGGGAGTTTGTTCCATCCCAGAGTGTGAAAACTCTCAGGCCCTGGAAGTCTTTACTTCTGTATCTGCTTGCATGATGACCAGGATGCTGGGATTCAAGCAGTGTGCTCAACATGGTCCCCAGAACCAAAAAAGGCTTACAGGCTAGGATGTAATAGAATGATCCTGACAAAGAATGATATTTGACATCTATCCTAGGAGAGAGAAGCATGTGAATGAGAGCAGGAAGTAACTTCCCACAGTTTCCCTATCCCATTCCATGATGCCCTTGGGAACCAGTCCTTTACCCCATGGAGTCTGATCACAGAGCTCTAAACTAGAACTCTGTTGCTGCAACAACTCAATCTAGATATGGGGTAGATGCAGTCTTTTCTGACAGATTCACATGGACAAGCCCCTCTCCTGTGTGATTCTCAGTTTCTATAAGTATGCTCTGGACTAGATGTTAAGTTCCTTTTAGTGCTGATCTTATCTGTGTCCTTCTCATACAGCAAAATTCTCTAGAAACCACTTCTGCAATTGTCTTGCCCCATCTGACATTGTGATCATGACACAGTCATTTCAGAGTACCCAGGCTCCTTCCTT